TCGTAAAATTATGAAACAAAATGTAGTCATTTGTGAGGTCAAAACAATTTGACATATATTTATCTTTCCTGTATTCAGGAAGTATCTATGTATTTACTCCTTTATTTGTGTGTTTTTAATCCAAGCAATGTCACAATATCTTAAGGTTTGGCAGAGGAGACTTGGCCTAGAACCCAGAGGGTCTCAGTTAGAGTCCCAGTAAGGAGCATGATTGTGAACTTGGCTGCCAGATGAAGAATAGCCAGCTCCAAACTCCCTCACTCCGCATCTTTCCATGAGTGCATGCCCTGAGGATCCTGTGTATATTAGCCTGTGTCAGGGATTAAAAAGTACATCTTCTTAAACTGTGCACTAAACTCAGACTCACTTCGCTGATGCTGCAGTTCAGCTACTGATCACTAGGTCGCACTAGAGCTCCACAAACAAGAGACACAACTCAAGAGGGGAGGAAGAACAAGGAGACCCGATTAACTAAAAGTAACAATCTCAAACTCAGCCTCAAACTGTTCATACCGGGTCATTAAATGTCCGAAAGAATTATTTTGTGTTTAAGGTGTAAAGATGTAAAGGCTTTTTAAGGGAAAACAGCCAGGTCTTCCAAATGTGAATAGAGGACACAATAAAGAAATGGAATACATTCCTGCCATTAAAAACACAGTTAAAGTTGTATCTCTGTTTTTGCAGGGGCCACAGATTGCATGCGCTAAATTTGTATAAAACAACTACCATTTTCAATCATCTGTAAGCCAGACTCCAGGATGCTACATTAATGACATTTACATTAAATTTTTCTCTGTTTTCAGTCAGTAGATCCAGCAGATGCCGATCAGGACTATTTGAAAAACCAGGGTGTCTCTGTCTACACGAAGATTATCCCAGGTTCAGCTGACTTCCTCAAGCCCATCTGTGTGTGTGTGCTTTAGACGACATGGACTGACAGGGACAATCAGTACAGGAGAAAAGGCCTCAAATGTTACCGAGACTGAGCGGGGATCAGGACAGAGGAGGAAGAGGTTTTAGTAGAGAATCATCATCATCAGGAGGAGGAGGGTTAAAGCTTCAGAGGAGACAGACTGGAGAGAGGGGGCTTAGAAGTTGTCAGAGTTTGGTATTCGTGACTGTGGGGCTCAGTCAGCGGGAGTTCTGGTCCCTCAGAGACCTCACACTGTTTAACTCACTTCTATAAAAATGGCAGGATTCAGTGCGTGCATTTCTGGGCTGAGAATGAGCATTTTTAGAGTGTGTTCTGGATTTGAAACCTGAGTTTAATGTATGAAATCCCAGTCTGCATAGGAATGAGTCATGAATGTATGCAGACTTAATCACAAATGGGCAATATTGTAAAGCAGAGGGTAGTGAAATTGGAAAAATATGATGATAAGATGGCCTCATTGTGCTACAATCAATACCCTTTGTGAATAATGCATCATCCACCCCGTCACATTATGCTTTGCTGATGTGAAACTTGTGATTCATTCTTGCTCGATTGTCAATTTACAGAAACTCTGGCACAGGCGATGAATCGATTTTTATTTCCCAGCTTATTTCTTTTCATCAAGACACTTCTTATGATTCTGATCCAGGGTCAGCTGGGATGGGAATCACATGAATTACATGTTTATCACTCAAATGATAAGAAACAAAAGTGTGATTAAGTTGCTTTCAGTGAGTGGTGGGTTTGCCTATGTGTAGCTCTGTCTGTGTGTATTGTGTGGGTGTGTATATAGTGTGTATGTTCAGGCTTATTTGTTGCTGCTCATATCCTCCAGTGAAATGCAGCAGCAATCATCAAAGAGCCAATTTATGAAGCTGCTGCGCTTCATGTGCATCACTCTGTTACATCTTCACAAACATCAACGCAAACACGTGCATACTGTTTGATTATATAGCATTTAACTTATTTATCATGAGCATCTGGTATCAATAGAGACTGAAATGTGATTAAAATGTGTAATTTTAAGAAATGGGAGAAATAATCTTTAGTATCCACCTTGAATTCAACATTTTGATCCCCTTCATAAACTAAAAATAGACTACCTGTCAGAACAGACCGCCTGCAATTGGAAGGACGATGTACATGAGATTTTGGCAGCGTGGCATTGTAATATATGAGGTCAGGTGCAAAAGTTGCCAGATTTCAAAGTGATAAGTTGTTTCTTCAGGATATAACAGTCGGCAGTGCTTGGGAAAAAGCTGGAAACCTCGCGCTGTAGTTAGTGTTTTGATTTTAAGAGAGGCTTTTGGATCAAGATGTTCTAATGAGTAAAAGCCTGAAGCGATGAAAAAGCTCGTCTTCGGCTTCCTTTGACAAAACCTGAATATGATTAATAGATACCAGCCGGTAAAATAGTGAATTACCTGAGATACCGTTTTCCTCCTGATATTGAAACTAAGTCATGACAGAAAGAAAAAGAAGTGTGCTGCTGTTTGTTAATGTGGCAACACGAACCTTCAGATTCTCCCAGAGCACACATGCTAAGCTAACATGAGCAGCGCTCTGAAGTGCAGAGAGGGACATGACGCAGTTTTATTCCCACTCTCCTCAAAAAATACAGTCCTCAATGATGGTGAACATGAACCTGAATTTGGCCAGTTTTGTTTAGCCTAACGCTCTTAACTTGTAGCAACGCACGTTGCACAGTTGCTACAAGCTAACCTTAAATAAGCAGTAAGCAGATTGGTATCCTGTGTCTGCCAGACTATGTCAGGGAAACTTGGATGATGCTTTTCGCATGTTTCTGTTTGAACTAGTTTTAATTTCGTAAAACTTTTACAGAAATAACTCTGAAGAGAAATATAGTGAAATATGAAAGTTACCCTTACCTAACCTTAAACTCTTGCAAGCAAACAACAGCGTCCTGCACTTACCAGAGTGTTTTTGGTCAACAGTTTTTCTGTTCTTTAAATGTCTTAACTTTAAACTTTAATTACTTTATAATTAGTGACAGGAAAAGGTCACTGTTCTTGAGGTGGCTGGCTTTACATTATTATATTCTTTGCTAACACAGCTGTGTGAAATTAAATTTAGCAAACGTTAGCAAAAGCTGAGCGCCCTGTTTTTATTAATTTATTTTAAACATGGAACTGCTTTGTTTTATGCTTTCTTTGTTTCAACACTTAAAATACAGCCTTAAAAGTGCAAAGTGCAGCTTTCGTTTAATGTTTTACTCTTTGCTTGAATGCACTTTACCCAATGTAGCGGTGCCAGCTTGGTGTGCTATTTGAGAGCTGCAAAAAGCTAAACGTTATAGTAGGCTTTTCTGCCTTTGTTTCAAGTAGAAGGAGGAGAAAAGTGGGAGAGAGAGTGGAGAAAGTGGTGGAATTAGACCTAGGAGGACGCTTCAAGGACTAAGACCTCAGAACGTGGACCAAAAAAAACAAAAATAGCACCCCAGAAACCCTCATTTTAAACATTGAACTTATTTGTTTTGTGTTAGTGCTGATTTCAGTTTTCTTAATTTCCAACATATACACACAGTCTTAAATTATGCTCTGTGACGGTAAGACATCATGGCTAAAACTTTGCCAGCTTTGGTAAACATCATATTTTTGCAAGTGTAGCATTTAGCAGTTAAAAATGTATCTGGAACAGGACTTTTGGAGAAGAGCGGGATACTTAATGGTTAAATTGTGGTTTTGGAAACTTTTTTCTTCATCCATAAACTGCCAACACTGACAAGCACAGTTTTTGATATGTCCCGACATTTTTTTATTCCATATTTTGGGCAACTATGACAGAAGTAAAAAGACTATCCTAAACAAGACTAACCATAGGATTAATTAATAAAAATTATATAAGAAAATCAAAGTTTTCATCAGCAGATTTCATCTCCTCATATTGCATATTTCTATCAAGAGCCCTGATTTGAAAAATGTATTGAAAGATATAAATGTATAAATTTACAGAGATGTAATTTGGAGAGAAAATCATCGAATCTTCACCTTGAAGAGGCTCCAGACTGAAAGTGTGACACATTTTCTTGATAACTGACTTGAGTGATTGTTAAAGCTGTTGATGGAAATTATCTGCTTATTAATAAATCAAATATCTGAATAAATGTTTCAGCCCTGAAGCAAAATATCTGCAGTGCAAGCTTCTTTATAGTCAAACTGTTGCTTGTTTTCTTTGGTCCTTTAATATTTTCATTCCATTGGGTGGAAATTTGATAACTCAGACGTACTGAAATGTAACCTGGTGTCGTTTTTTTTGCTCCTGAAATCTTATTAAATAGTCTTTCTGACATTTTTTGGTGCATTATCAATGGCCCAGCTTTGTCCCAGCATCATAAAACATTGACTGCGTGTGTGTATTTTTGGGTGAAAACACCATCTGTCAAAACCCAGACCAAACAAAACCTGCAAGACTGGGACTGCATTTGGGGGGAACCTGCCCCCGTGTGTCTTTACACCCATTATATTTCCACCTGAGGCTTCTCCTGCATGGATCAGGGGGTGACAAACCAGCACTGGCAGGCTTGACTCTAAATGCATCCTGTCTGATTTGTGTATTTTTGTGTTGAGTGTTGAACGTGACCTCCTTTTAAATGACAGGAATATTAAAGAGCAAACAGAAGCTACAGAGCCCGGATGGAGATGCCGGCAGGCAGCTGCTCCGCTCTCTGTTTTATCATCACACATTTTCTTTCTTCTCCCCCCCCGAAATATAAATAAGCAGAAGAGCTGACAGAAGTCGCTCAAACTGAAAGAAAACACACACAAAGGAGGCTTTTGAACTTTTCTGTAGGTAAGGACTTGTTTCACAGAATCAGAGCGGAGCTGTGACTTTGTTTAATTTTAACTCTGTGAACTTATTTGGATAATTCTCACCTGCTGTCTCTGATCCGCTCTGCCTCTCTTTTAGTGTCTGATTGCTCTTTTGCCTCCCTCTCTATGTCTTTATATGTATGTGTGTGTGTGTGTGTGTGTGTGTGTGTGTGTGTGTGTGTGTGTGTGTGTGTATCTGTGTGTGTTTGCAATACACCTCCAAACCAGAGTCAATAGTAGAACACGTAGCAACTGTCTTTATTGAACACCAGCATTTTAGAAGGTAGGGATTTAACATATATATAGTTGAAAGCCTACAAGAAAAGTAATTTAAATATTTATATATATCTTTACAAATGTTCATGAGCGACTCGGAGAGCTCGTGTCGGCTAAACTTGCGATCCAGGGGAGTGTACAAAGATAGACATGCACAGGGGGGAAGAGGGACGACGGCGACCGCAGAGTCACCTTTTACAAAATGGCTGAGTTGGACCCTTCTCTTTCTCTCTCTCTGAATCTCTTCCACACACACACACAAACACACACATTCACACACAGCCACCACAGTGTAGCCTATAACCCCAGGCAGTGGTGTCACATCCACAGACTGTCTCATGGTTACACTGGTTTTTATGGCACTGATAGTATGGTGTAAAAATCGAATAAAGCAGGGAGGCTCAGTGGCTTACACAGGTACAGGGAGGTCTTAAACTGTGCTGTGTTAGTTTGAGAGTGTAGATCCAACTATGAGATGACCCTAATTATAAGACCCCCCCTATTTCTAGATTAAATTTGGCTGTCATAGTTGTAGTCAGCACAGCTGAAGTGCAAATACATTGAACATTTTGAAAATTAAAACTCCTATAAGGGATTTTTACTTGCTTGACAAACAGACAGAAACTTTTAACGGCCTTAAAAACTAGAGATCATCAGCAACAAGACCTGTTTTTTTTCTCATATCTAAAACCACCGGTGGGGGGTGGGTGTCAGTCGAGTGAATAGGCTGCGACCATCAGAAATGGCATCTCTTCATACAGTGTGGACAAAGCCAAAGATCAGAGGCTTTACTTTGCCCACATGGGCCGCCAAAATCAACATTAAAAGTTTTTCTTTTTTTCCAGTTGATTGAAGTCTCTGCTAAATCATTGTTTTAAAGTAAGCATCATAACTTTGTCTCAGTAGTTCAGATTTAGGTCAAGTTGACCATCACTGTCCCTCTCCCTCTTTCATCCCTCTGGCACTGAGGTTGTGAACAATGGTTGTGAACAGTGGTTGTGACCTCAGTCATGAAAGTTTCACTTGCTTCACAGAAAAGCGGTGCCATTACTCATTACAAATACTGACACTGAATTTCCAAGAGGATAAGTATAAAAAGTCTTATATTGGGGTCAGTATGGTGGTTTATTGACAGGTACTGTGACAGTTGATTTACTATATTTAGGGACATTTAGAGGGAAACATTTGTCTTTGTTTGGTTGCAGCTCCTTTAAGAAAAGATTTGCTACATATTGTCATTTTGATAAATACGTCTTTGACTGGTCAGTCTTAAACTACCTGAAGACTACTCTGAGCTCTGGGGAATGAGTGTCTGTGAAAATATAAAATTTATGGACTGAACAGTTTGATTTAAGAAAAAGGATCAACTGATTTATTGTTTAATTTGCCTTCTTATTTACCTTATTATTATTACTGAATATATTGTTATGGCTGTTATTATTAAGACTATGTCTGTTATATATTAGAGGATGTAAATATATATCCACAGGTAGGTGTCTGGAGGTGATCGTCCAAGGTAGTGAGTCATATACTTGGAGGTGGGACCACTAAGTGGTTCATGCCAGGGCAGGCGCCACAAGTGCCAAAACAAAAGACAAGAAATTGGTTAGAAGTTTGGGAACTATAGAAAAATTGTTGAACCCCCTAGAAAAATAATTAAAAGTGAATAAATTTTGTTTGAGCTGACTGAAAAATTCAGCAAAATTAGAGCTTGGGGTGTTGGTGGCTGAGATTTCTTTAAATTATTCCAGTTGAACAGATTAAATTTGTTTTCAGAGGGTCAAAATATTCACCTGACTTAGACGAATGATGGTCAAATAACCCACAAAACTTTCAGTGTGTGTGTCTTTGTAATGCATGTCGTGTTGTGTTGGCTGTGGACCTCCCATGTCCCGGAAAACTGTGTTGCCAGCATGTCTACCGCCAGTTTTCAGACTGAATAAATAAAGTAATAAAAGTCTTAGATGAGTCCCAACCATCACCATGGCAAGGCTCTTGCTTTGTCATGACACACACACACACACACACACACACACACACACACACACACACACACACACACACACACACACACACACACACACACACACACACACACACACACACAAATATACATACATACAAACAAACACCCAGCGTAACAGGGTTCTCATTCGTACATCTGGGTGTCTAGTTTGGGACACTTGAGTTTGGAGTTACTTTTGAAAATAAGATAAATAAATTAACAATAAATATGAATTGTTAAAAAAAAAGACAACAAATCCTCTTCTGAGACTTGTCCTCTCTCTCTCTCTCTCTCTCTCTCTCTCTCTCTCTCTCTCTCTCTCACACACACACACACACACACACACACACACACACACACACACACACACACACACACTCCTAAATGCAGCGCTCCAAGGCACGGGGACCGGCTGTGGGGGGGCTACTCAGTCTTTTCTGTTTTGCCATCTTTGCTTTGCGGCTCGGCTGTTTTCCGGAGCTGCGTCTTTTCCGAGCTGTTGTTGATCTGTTGGTCATTGGGTCCACTTGTTTTCCCACTGGAGTTTTTGTCCAGGTAGTTGAGCATCTCGCTCAGGACCGTCTGGAAGGTGCTAAGAGCCGCACAGACCGCTGGTGTGCCGAACCCGTGAGTGATCAGACTGTGAGGGAGACAGAGAGCAGAGTGATGAGATGTTTGCAGGATTTCTTCCTTTTCTTTTCTTAGACTCCAGACCTGCAGAGACACTGTCCTCTCTCTGCATTATTGAGCTTCTAATCCTCCTAAAGGGGTGTCTTTAGTCAGGATAACACCTTTCAGAGCAGAGTCTAAATGTGCTGTGATGTTCTCAACACTGTTTCTGCAGTAATATGCGGAGAAAAGCTGATTTCAGGCCTGTATCAATAAACTAGTTAATCAATGTGTTAAATCACAGAAAGACATCAGCTATCTGATCACTTTCATCTTAACTTCTCTCGAATCAAAGATCCCCTCTCTTCTTTGTTGGGAGGATTTGTTGCTGCTCCTCGTCTAATGTTGAATTTTTTTTGTTTTAAAGCTCCTCTATGTGATTTTTATTTTGTTTTAATGCCAATGCCCGCTCTAGACGAATTCGTAGCTCTTACATCTTTGTCCTACGTGTCTACAAAGTTTTTTTTAACACTCAAAACTAAATTTGGCTCCCAATCACTTAACAATCAAAAACCCATTTCCAAGTTTCCATTCTTTTCAAAATTTCTCCAGAAAGTCAGTTCACACAACTTACTGATTAAATGTGACATAATTAAGTTTATACCGATTTCCAGTCTGGTTTTTAAACTTGTTATAGCACAGAGACAGTCCTCATTATGGTAACTACAGTAACTTCTTTTAATAGTTGAGAGATGCAAAAGCTTCTTTCTTATGCATATTGAGCTTTCTGCCGCTTCACCTTTTAACTTCTCTACCATCCCAGCCTAATTCACCATCTTGAAACCTGGGTTTAAAACTCCAAAGGAACAGTTCAAACATGTCTCACTGAAACTTTCCAGTTATCTCAGCAAATTCCTGTCCATATAATTTTGAGTTCCATTATAGCGTACCTCAAGGATCTGTTCTTGGTCCTCTTGTTATCATACATTTACCCGCTCTAACTCTCAACCAGATCATTGGAAAACATCTTCAATGATCGTGTTTTTACATTTATACAAAGATGACACACAGCTGTATGTTCCCTTCCACCCTAATAATTCCAGTTCTTTTTTCTTTAGCTCCATTGTGGCATGCCTCAAGGATCTAATCTTGGTCCTCTTTTACTCTACATTTACATGCTCCTCTCTCTCTCTCTCTCTCTCTCTCTCTCTCTCTCTCTCTCTCTCTCTCTCTCTCTCTTTCTCTCTGTGCATTTTGTGCATTTTTTTTTGTAATATGCAGATGATGCACAGCTGTATGTTCCTGTCCATCTTAATTATCCCAACAGTTTATTCTATTTCCTCAGTAACCTAAAACAATGGATGTCCTGTAACTTTATGAAGCCAAACCCTGACAAATTTGGATAACCTTTGGTCACTGTCAGTCCTCCAGTCTTTGGTGTTATACACTTAGAGCCTGATCTACTGAAGGTTTGTGTGTGCAAAAACTTGATAGCGCACGCAAAGCTGATCTACTAAGTGGGTGCACTAAGGATTGCATCTGTCAAATGAGCAAAACAGCATGCGCAATTGATTTAGCGTGCTTGCCTTCATGAATATGCAGAATGTATGTAGATCATCAGGCTGTGCAAAATACTGGGAGGAGCAGATGCAAAAGGAATCATTAAGCACCCACAATGTGATTTATCAAACCCGGAAACAGTGACCTGATTGTGGTTGCTTTTTTGCGTCAATATTTAGCATGCTTGAAAGGCACATGCAAACTGGCACAGCATTACGCACAGTCATTGTGGGGAGAAGGAGGCAGAAGTGCAAAAGCGTTTTTCTAGTAAATGATGGTTTTGATAAATAATTACGGAACAGTCGCAAAAATGTATCTCTTTGTCTTAATGATTTTAAATTGTTTGAATTTTTTTTTTCATTTCAAATATATTTTCTTGCACTTTGAATTGCCTTGTGTATAAATGGTGCTATACAAATACACTTGCCTTGCCTTTTATAAGAATAAGAATAAGAAGAACTTTATCGATCCCCAAAGGAAAATTCAATTGTCTGTTGTCTCACGTAATATGTCTATAAAAGTTATCTATTATTTACATAATATCTATTATCTATTTTACACATACATAAGATGCGGTTCTCCAAAATGATGCGTGCAACTCCATGGCTTTAAACTTAATTTTTCATCTATAATCACTGCTCTCACAAACTCTCCATGGTGACAGTTGATAGTGCACGCAAAATCCTCGTTCAAAGAGGGCGGTCCGCACCACTTTTGCACCTGTTATCAATTGCGCATGCAATGATAGTAGATCACCTGCAACACGCCCACTAATAGCATGTGCAATTATTTAGTTTGCACACGCAATTTAGTGTTCGCTATTTGGGATCTTAGTAGATCAGGCCCTTTGTTCGCTGGATGTTAGTATCACAACGAGAGCTAAATGTTTGGACGTTACATTTGAGTCGGACTTTTGTTCTGACTCTCATGCAACTAAATTTGCTGCCAGGCAAAGGTAAAAGCGCATTAAGTGTGCCAGGTTAAAAAAATGCACAATGATAAATGATTTTTAGTAATGATACTGGTTTTTCATAAAGCTTCTTGCTGAGCTGAATGTCTGGTCAGCTCTTAGCTCTTAGGACTTTTCAGCAGGATGAACATCCTCCTCCTTAAACCACAGTCACAGCCTTAACTGTGCATTAACAGCTGAGCTTCCCTTGAAATCTGGTCAAACTTTCTATATTCTGCAAAGAGTGACGCCATAGATGTGACATTTGTGCTAACAAGCCTCCTCCTCCTCGTCATCTTCTTCTGCCATTTGTGCCAAATAACAAACTGCACAGCTGCATCTTTTCCGAAAATGGCAAAGCAGACGCAGCCAAAATGAAGCGCAGCAGTTTTAATTCTTCCAAGAGAGTCTGTTTTGTGGACATTTGTCTCAATAACTCCATTTAGTGTGTGTGTGTGTGTGTGTGTGTGTGTGTGTGTGTGTGTGTGTGTGTGTGTGTGTGTGTGTGTGTGTGTGTGTGTGTCTTACCTGAAATGTGTGAGGTGTCTCTGGATGTCCAAGTCCAGGATGGGGGTGGGTCTTGAGGACCCCAGAGGAGAGCGGTCTTGGCTCAATAAGTCCTGGAACTCCTTACAGATTTGCCTGACAGACAGAAGGAGGGAGGGAAGGAGGGTTTACCATCTGTCTCCAACACAACCGGAGCAATTCAGGCTCCCATTTTTTCCCCCTTTTTTCTGCCTCCATCCCGCTCATTTTGGATCAACACACAAATAAATTCCTCCCAGGAAACACTTGAGGAAAACAGCACATGCAGGAGTGAGATGAGCTCAACATCAATTCTCAAAAAACAAGTAAAAAGCATTTATAACATGGCACAGAGCATTCAAAGGGGGTCTGCTGTGGAGGTCAAGGCTGTCTTTTTGGATGTAAGTCGATGTGAAAATCTTTGTCGGGAAGAATTGTTCATCTTAAAGAAAATCAACTTATTTAGAAAAGAGTGGGAGTCAGAAAGAAGCTCATAGCGTGAAATAAAAACAAACATGAAAGCCCTGAAATCTGTAAGCAAATAGCTTGAAAGTCAGATAAAATAGAAGATCCATGCATGAGAAGTGTGTGCTACTTTCCCTCAAGTTTTCTCATCCTCTTTCCTACTTAATGTTTTCCTTGTTAGGCAAACTTCTCCTCAGCATCTGTTAAATTTTCCTCCATTTCTGACTCTCACAGATACTCAATACTTGCAGGCTGTGAAGCTTTCTTGTTGTTGAACATGTAGCTTGGAGCTCTGTTTATCAAAGCATTGCTTTCAACATGATCAATTTTCCTCGGCTGTGTTGCAGCTGTGAAATTGATCGAGATATTCACCTGCACCTATAGACCTGCAGACAAACAACAACTTAAGTCTGGGTCGTTTCACATGATCGGTTCATGATTGCAGAGATATGGAGACGTTCACATCGGGCGTCTCACAGAGATGTTGTTCCATCTCTTTTGCTGCAGGTTTTCCAGTGGTCTATCTATGTGCTCTTACTTTGTAGCCAGAACCATTTTCTTGCGCGCGCTGGTTTCTTTCGGCTCGCTGTGCTGCCTCGCCAAATGTTCCCCCACTGCCTTGCTGGGGAACTCTGTCTCGCAGGTGTAGCCGAAGTCCCGCGCCAGGTGGAGCGCCTCACCTGAGTGCAAAACAAGGAAATGCAATGATGAAACAAATGGATATAAAAACTTTAACAGGAAATAAAGCATTTGGGACAAAAAAGTTCTCTACCTTCCACCAGGGATGTGAGAAGAGTGACATTGGCAGCTTTCCTCCGCCCTGCTGGCAGGTTGAGGCCCAGACGGTCTAATTTCTCTCGAAGACACCGGCCTCCGTTCTTTGACTTTGCTCTGCAGAAGAGTGAAATAAATCTTCAATCAAACAACCAAATATACCCCCACGCAACTTTTCTGTTCACTTTTTAGAAACAATAGTACCAAATTTCCACACCACATGTCACAACTTCTTCCTTTTTTCTCATATACTGAAGCAAAAGATGAATATAATCATCTTTTTCTTTCAAAAACCTGGTTTTAATTATGTCTTGCAAAGGCATGGAGGAATATAGATTTGTTTTGATGTGACAAATTAAGCATAAAATCAAAGAGTGTAAAATTAAAACACGTCATTTCATCATATGTTTAACATGATTTCTTTATTCCTCCTAATGGCGACACGTCCCCCTGAGTTTCCCCTGTCACAGTTTGAGCCAAAGTGAGGCACTCTTCTTTTGGAGGAACAATAGTGTCTGTCAAAATGTTCATATTTAAAACGAAGTTTAACGTTCTTAAACTCAGCTGATAAAGCTGCAGAAATTCTTCAGGGATTTTTTTATAAATTAAAATAGAAACACAGAAAAAGACCAAACAGATAAAAATTGACTGAACACACGAGCAAAATCCTCTTTCCCTTTTGATGACGTGATTTACTTCAGATTGAAGAACAGCTCCTTAAATTGCACTTTTTTCTCTTCGTCGATGCCTTGGCCATGTTCTCTCTACCCCCCCCCTTTCCTGCTCGTCCTTCCCCCTTCTTTTTCTCTCCGCCTCATCAATAATACAGCGCTGGCAACTCTTGCTTTCCTCTGCTTCCTCTGATCCTGGCATGCTTTGGCCTGGTCTCGCCTCCCTCTGGCTCCCTGGGCATGGCGGCGCGTGCAGACCCGGCCCCTCATTTCGCCTACAATAGTCTTTGTGGATTCTATATACTGTACATCCTGTGTTTGGGCAGAAGGAAGCACTCTTGCCAGAATTAGGCTCTAAAACAGACTGGTTTGATTTTAAAGCCATATTTACTTTCATAGTTTGCTGAGACTCAAAAAGTGGCAGAAACATCCTTGCAATTTAACCACACCTCTTCATCTGGAGGCATGAATTTCTCTATAAATTGTAGATTTTTTTGTCTTCATTTCTGAGCATCCTTCACTACCAGATATTCGTCTTTCTTCTCCATCCTTCCTCTACCACGCTAACACACTTTTATTCTTATACAATATGCTACTGCTTCAGAATGGACTCGATGGTTTTGAAGTTTTAAGTCTCTGATTCTCCCGGGATGATGTTGAGAGTACTACAGTAGCACCTCAGTAAGGTCCTCTGCTACAAACAGATAAAATAGCTCCATATGAATGCAGCGAGATCAGGTTTGAATTTCAATATTTGCTTTGTCAGAACGAGAACGAGATCTTAGTTTGATTTTTCTTCAGGTGGGATTGTTGGTGCTGTAAGAGTGGATGCTTGTGTAAAAGCAGCATAAATTGATGGTATTCCCCGAGGTGCAGACATATCCCAGCTGTGCGTTAGCGTTTGTACTGACCTGCGCAGTATACCACCCAGTAAGGAGGCATTGAGGCACTCTGGTGGGGACAGTCTTCTTTTCACCTCCGCGATGGTCACTTTGTACTTGGAGGTGGAGCTGAGCAGCGACAGGCGGCCGGGTACCGAGCAGAAGAGATCTGTCGGGTTAACCACACACGTCCCGCCTGCACACAAACATGAAACAAGTGTCAGAACAAGACCAACAACAGAACCGGGAAACTTTTGTCAGTGTTCAAAGAGAAAACTCAAAACTTTAGATGTTGTTGTCTGCTAAAAAAAAAACAAACAAAACAAAACTGGTTACAGATGTATTTGCACATGATAAACATTAAGTAAATTAATAAAAACTCCAGTCAGGAAACTTCAGGGACAAGAAACTTTTCAGGTGATTCAGGCAGGAAAGGGACTATCAAAATGCAGCAAGTGTTAACGGCAGCAGGATCCAACTTAAACACTTCTAATTGATGGAACTTGACAGTTTTGCTTGAGCTTGACACGTTATTGAGTCCATGTAACTGTACTAATATTATTAGGCCCATCCTATTGGGCTCATAATACTAGGTCCATATCATTGTGCCCATGTTATTAAGCAAATACTGGCCCACACATATACCAGTATGGTCACATTTCTATCCCAATAAGCCCAAATATAAAAACTGCACCTATTTCACACCTGTCTCACTGCACCTTTTCAGTTGTCTCAGTTAATTCCATTCATATATAAATGAGTTCCATCATGGCGTACCTCAAGGATCTATTCTGGGGCCTCTTTTGCTCTGCAGTTATGTGCTACTCCTCAGCCTTTTAGTAAATGAAGGGTTCGCAGTTTGATCTCCAGCTTCTACAGATCACATTTCAAGGTGTTCTTGGACAAAATGCTAACCTGAGGTTGTACTGTGAGCATATGATTAACACTTACAAGTAGTTATACGCTCACTGTCTCTTTTATCAGTTAGTGATTGTGCATCAGTACGCCTGATATTGCACCACATCGGATGCTACTGTCCACTCTGTATGTACACTTCTATTATGTTGCATAAGCCTACTATATTGCAATCAGCCACGCTCAGGAGACCAGCAGGAGATGACCAAAATGTGTGTTTTAAGATTTCCTGCATTTGAACTTTAAGGACAGTGCAAAAGACAAAAATAGTGCAGAAATAGGAAGACAAAAATTTGACGTTTTCAGCAGATAGATTTTTTGTTTGTACAGCATTAACAGAAGTGCATAGAAGTCAGTTTCTGCTATTTGATATCTGATGCTGGCATGCTGTGCGGTGATCATGACATGTGGTTTAAAGAGCTTTCAGATTAGCACTAAATAAAGTACATTTGATTTTGCGCAGTATTAGCTCCTTTGCAGCACATGTAACTAACCGTGGCTGCACATTAACAGTAAATGTCACATAACTTCTTAGTGGAGATATTGGCTTTAGAAAGCAGCTTTTCTACCTTGTATCTTTGCAGAGTCTCATCAGAGGTGCCATGAGGTTAAACTGGATCACAGACTAAATGTTATTTGCACATTTACACACTCAAACCCACACAGACATGAATACATAATGAGAGAGCGGCTCCTCTAATGTGGTTCGATGTATATCAACATGAAGCTTTAATAAAGCAGCACATCAGCGTCACCATTAAACAGAACTGTGGAGAACTATGGCAGATTGTCACTGTGGTGATGGTTTAAGCTGCGAGTCTCTCTTATGCTGTATGAATGGAAGAATAATTCATCTGTTTGATGCTGAATGTAGCTCCATTTGTACCTCAGTGAAAGTACTAATCAGTCAGATCATCCTTTAACAGGGAGACCAGGACTTTACAGTGACTCTAAACCAGCTTTTAACACATTTTCCTGTGTTTGTAAGATTAACTACTCAATATTATAATGATAAAGATGTTTGATGAGAACCATGATATTAACAAATTCAGAAATTTGAAAGTGTCTTAGAACAAAAATCAAATACCTAGATTCCCACTAGGGGTTCAGTGTGACTGTGTTGGCATTTGAGCATTCATGCCCAGATTTCTTTAACCCATTTCAAAACGTACAATATCATCAAGGTCCAAATTTTACATGTTAGATTTTTAAAATTGTTCACTATTTTGTCCCTTCCGGCACACTACAGTTAAGCAGCTGCAATGTCTTCTTGCTTCGATACCACTGTATAATAACGTTACTGCTGCACACCTTGTTTAAAAAATCCCATTTATTTGTATTTGTGGTTTTGCAAGAACTACAAAAATGAAAATCTTGGTTTTTTTTTTGTTTGTTTTTATTTTTTGTTGCGTTCATCATTTACACCCCTACATGTCTTACCACCTCCTGCAGCAACAAATGCCCCTCACAACATGGCCGAGGTTTATTCTTAAAAAATGCTGAGTCTCATCAGTAGTGTGAATCTGGTCTGGTTTTGCAGTGTCAGACATCGACTTAATCACAGTGTTTTGAGTCACATCTATGTCATTTGTCATTTCAATTTTTATGGGAAAAGAAAAAAAAAGATCAAATCTTTTATAAAGTTTCTTAACAAAAGTAAAGCTTTTTTTTTTTTTTTCAGCCCGTATCGCCCAGCCCTAAAAATAAATAAAAAAGTTTACTGCAGCACTTGCTAAATGTGTCTTTCATTAGTGTATTGTGGCCAGTCTTCGAAGCTGTCTACGATCTCTGAGTCATAGTTGCAGACCACAGAGGTGAAGCAGTAGTGCAGCATTTACTTGAATTATAAATCTAACTGCCAAGATCACAAAGTACATGTCATTGCATTCAATTAAAAGACTGATGAGAGTTATGTTAGATTGTTAATATGGACTTAAAAACACAAATAGATAATAATGGAATTGTTTAACATGCAATGAAAAATCCAATTACATGTTGAAATAACACACACACATGTTGAGATATAAAAAATAATCATTTAACATTTATTTAGAGACTCTTTTCTAAAGTATCAACAAGCAAGTGGGTCTCAGCGAGTTTTGTAAAGAAAGTCAGGATTACTGTTGGAATATAATGACGCATATAAGTTTTAATAGTTCCACATTATGAACTGAATTCTACAAGTTTTATAAGATTTTTTATTTCTACTACAAGAGCCTTTTTGTCCTCTTGACTTTATGCACAGCTTCTAGGTTACTAAATGTATCAAATGGAAATCCTTAAACGCTTTGAAAAGCTTTAACTGGCAGAAATACATGAACTCTCTGGTCTGAAATTTTGAGAGTAAAAATGGTGCTTTTGTATTCTCTGCTGCAGTGTCAGTATAGGATCATTTAAAAAACTGAGATAAATATGGTTGTAACAGAAAAACAAACACATCTCACCCAGGGTGCAGATATTGGCATAATTTTGCACCTTTGTTTCTTACTAATTTATTTTCAAGAATCACAGAGGATGATGCAAAATTTTAAACTGAGTATCTGAGAGTAAAGCAACAAAGAAGTTACAACGTGTGCAACTCAAACTTTTCTGCATGCGTTTAAACCTCAAAAGCAACCATTTTTTCACATTTCTTACACCACCAGCTATTTTATAACAGATTTATTTAATGATTCTGTGTTTTTGAGAAGTGCATTAATAGTAACAAGTGAGATAATTTTCAATACGGGTTTTCTTGAGAGTTCATCCACACATAAATGTAAAATCATTGGCGGTGCTTCTTTCTCTTTTCTGCACGAGAGCTAAGTGTTGCACAGCCTGTATTATCACTTACTTCCTGCACAGCACAGTGGTAAATATTATATAGAGTTTATGCTTGAATACAATTTTAATCAAAGCCACAGAAATGAGCAGAAAAGCCAGTAATAGTGAAATAAAACCATGTCCATGAGCTCAAGTATCGTCAATCAGTGCTCACAATAACAATGTGTTCCAGCACTTCATCCTTAAAGCTAAATATTAGATTCATTTTTCTATTCTACTATGTACATATAATTTGATGTCTGTTTCAGCTCAATATTTGTCTGTCCGTAGGAAAAGTCAGCTTTAACCCCAGGAGGGGAAAACAAAACCTTCCTTTTAATCACCTTCCACCATCCACCAAGCTGATTTCATTACAGACTCCTGTGTGTGTGTGTGTGTGTGTGTGTGTGTGTGTGTGTGTGTGTGTGTGTGTGTGTGTGTGTGTGTGTGTGTGTGTGTGTGTGAATAAATGATTGCTGTTGTGATAGTGAAGGCTCTTTCACATTATTAATTGCATCTGAATCAGTGTTGTTGAGTCCTCCTGGAATAAATCCACTGCTCTGAGTGGGCCTATTATTATTAAACTTTCACTTGAACTAACGTCCCAAGCAGCTGAAACGCAAGGTTTCTGTCTGATGTACTGTAGGCTATATTCTATTATTCATCTGCCTCATTATCAAATCTAACAGCAGGGCGTGTCGCTTTGTTATTGGGCCGTGCTGGGTTTGATGGAATGAAGAAGAGGACGCCATTTAGGCCGAGGAAGAACAACGCTGCAGGCAAAGAGTGGCTAATCTTTTCGGGGCAGTTTGGACGATTTGGCCACCAGCAAGGCTTTAAAACTGTGACCTACATTTTAGCTCTAAAAATCTATTATTCACAATCAGCAGAGAGGGGCTGGTGTCGTGTTTCTGGCCGCAGGAAGCCTGTTAGACCTGTAGCATCAAGAACATGTCAGCCGGGTTCAGCACCATGGACAGAGGCTCCTACCTTTCATTTCAGCACCTGGACAGCGCCTCGTGCCCACAGCACAAGTGTGACATCATAATGGTGTGGCAACAAAAGCCTGTTGTAGTCCGGCGGGCAGCGCTTTCATACAAGGCTGGGTGGGACTTGTGTTTCACCCTGGCAGTCAAAAGTAGACGCTCGGGGATCGATTGATACTATTGGTTAAGCAAGGACTCCTCAGCGTGTGTGTGTGTGTGTGTGTGTGTGTGTGTGTGTGTGTGTGTGTGTGTGTGTGTGTGTGTGTGTGTGTGTGTGTCTACGTGTGTGTGCGTGTGCGCGTGTGAAGTCCGGCTCGTCTGTGTCTCTCTCTGTGACACAAACCGGGCAGACCTGTCTGTCAGCCTCACGCGCTCTGACAGGGGCGCGCGTCTCTGAAAGCCGCGGGTTCACATCATATTAATTCCCCTAAAAATGTTTTGATTCAAAGTAGTTTGTATTTTATGTTGCCAAGGGCAATCGAAAAGAGCTATTGCCGGTAGTGCAGTCAGTGGAGCGCGCGGGCCCAGAGGCGATAACGGTATTTAAGCAACGGAGAGTAGCCTGGGGCTGCGGCGCGAGCGGCGGGCGGGATCACACGCGGAATCAAGCGCCTTTTACGAGTTTGCCACGAAAATTAAAGAAAAAGAGACACGGGCCAAATGTCATTCTCCTCATATTTTAACAACAATGTTTATAGCTCCTAAAAAAGACCGCCAATGTCTTGACAGAAAAGAGAGGAGGCGTGCACGTGCTGTAGTGGCGGGGGCGCGCCTGACAGATCATCTTGATCTGTGAGGCTGCTGCTGTGTTGGAGCTGAACTGGAAAAGGGATAGCAGGGTGATTAAAAACACAGACGACTCCTCCTAAGTAGGATCCGCGTTTCTTGAGTGATTTTCTTTTGAAAAAGGTTATGTGAATATTCATGCCGCCAAAGCCGCAGTCAGAAAGAACAACATTAATATGATCTCGGCTGAATCCGGGGCCCCGCTCGGCATTAGCATATCAAAGCGTCCGCCCGAGGCGAGAGAAGCTATCGATACGGGAGCGGGAGGTAAAGCAAAGATTATTGGTTGTGATGGTTGCAGCGGCTGAGCTCAGGGCCAAATACGGCGCACCATTAACCGAAAGTGATAGCGGAGGGATTCCCGCGTCAATCCGAGAGAAAAGCCCCAACACCTAGGCTGAGCTGATGAAAAATTAAACCCGAGACACAGCCTTCCTCTCTGTGAGGAAAACTACACATAGTCCCGACTGGAGAAAAAAAAAGGCAAGAGTGTAGAGTGTGATGCACCGAATCCGGTCCAAACTGTGTTCAAACCCAAAGTCATGAGGAAATTGTCCTGCCAGATATTCGACGCCTTCATGACCCAGCCTTTATAGTCCGAATTAAACCTACCGACTCGGATTAAAAACGCGGGTATTTACAACATTAACTGCACCGCAAAAACCACAATTACTCATGTGATTTGGATCCCATCGCCGCCCACAAATAAATAAAGAAATCATAAATAAAAATATAGAATGTGCCCGGAAGCAATCAAACTGCAGTGAATTATTAAAGCAGCTACATAAAAGATATAGGTTATCCTTGATTGCCCTTTCAGTTTCAAACCATTTCAGCAGCCCATATAAAAGTGTGTTTAGTTAGCTTGATAATGAAACTATTGTGAGTAAGATCATTTTAAATACAGATTATAAATGAATCTATAAAATAAATTCATGCGCTCTTTAGGTTGTAGATTATAATCCACCAACATCAACATTGTAAAATTGTGTATGTTTACACAGAAGCTTAAATATTTTGACTATTCTTTGTTATAGTAACCGTGTTCATGCCCATTACATGAGTTATGATGAATTCATGAACCTGAAAAAAAAAGTTTTACATCAAAAAAAAAGTAAACAAAAGCAAGCCGTCAAACTGCAGCATACAGGTTTGACACACACAAAGCTTAAAAGCCCCATATTGAATCAGTGCCGTATTAATTCATGGCTTTGACGTTTTAATTTTATGGGGGGAAACCGTCATGTTTTTGTGACTGGTAAAAAAAAGACGTAGGTGTTGAGTGACAGTGAACAGGAAGCGCCTGTACACTGTTAGCGTTTAAACAGGCGCGAAAATGGGGCCGTTGACAGCAGACAAGGGAGGGGAGTGTTCCGCCTGTTTGTCTGTCTGCTCGCTGTCTTGTCGTGTCGTGTCGAGCCGTGAGAGCTTTCACGGCCCTCCGGTAAGCTAGGCTACAACATGCAGAACAGACTCCAGAGTAAACAGGGGCCCTTACCTCTCCGGATGACGCCCCCTTGGCCGTTCAGCACGAGCCCACACTGCGCTTCCACAGAGCCCTGCGGAGACAGAGCATCATTAGAGCAGGCAGGGAGGTGAAACCACTTCACCCACATTTTTACTCCACTGGAGCCCCGCTTTACTCAGCTGCCAGGAGCCGGAAACACCTGGAATTTTCCCGGAAAGTTGGGATGTTTTCAGGGACATCCAGTCAAAATTTTACCCTACATTGACTCACCACAAAGAAAGCACTTTACTGAAACGTGAATCTTCGAAATACAATTATGCACATAGGACTGTGACAAAAAGCAATATCAATATTAGTTTTGGGGTTATTTATTTATTTATTTATTTACATAATAACCACAGCAGCACCTAATTTGGACCCATTTGTGAGGGGTAACATTTCAAAGTGGTTTCTCATGGTTTGACTTTAATGCAGAATTTTGTGATCATGAGTGTAAATTAAATGCCCTTTTGGACTGGTTTATTTATCACATTTAAGACATTTAGTATGTTTGAGATCTATATGGTTTTAACAATAGCCTAAACAAATATAGGATTGCGGATTGCAGAGAATAGACAACTACCTTGTAAACTACTGCTGTCAAACAAGAAAAAAGCTTAAAAATGACATTGGAGTTTTTCTCTCTAATCGACTAATTTTTGCTTTAATTTTGTAGTCTTGAACGACGTGCATCACATTTGCCTCGTTTTAAAGCTTCTAGCTGTATCCAGGTCTGAATTATTAGTCCCACTCAATGTGTTTGATTATAATAAATGGAATAAAACATAAATGTAATATTTCAGACAGTTTCTAAACACTAGAACATTATACAATGTCAGAAAAATTAAATTGTAGTAATTTCTCATCTAGATCAGTGATTCCTGACAAACTGGCTTGCAATGCAGCAAAATCCACAGTTGTTTTTTTGTTTTTTGTTTTTTGCATAACTTTTAGTCATAATAATTTGCATGTATTGGATTGTTTAGCTTGGATAAAATTAAACAGCCTCAAAGAAAGAAGAAAAAATAAATAAAAATGAGTTTGAGCGTTTCTTTCTAATGGACAGTTTGTGCCATAATCACACAACTACATCTATTTGTTAAATTTAGTCACATGTGGCCAAATGAATCCTCTGCAGATATCCAATGTGAACAATATTTTAAAACTCATATGCAATGCAAGTCTGTATTACAAATGCATTAAAAAAAAAAAAAAAACTTTTTAAAACATGTCCATATCTTACGAAAAAAAAAAAAAAAAAAAAAAAAATCAACATATGACCCCTCTAATGTATCTCGTGACCATTAACGGGTGTCGCCCCACAGGTTGGGAACCCCAAGCCCAAGGTCCTTCAGATTTATCTGCAGCACTGTCAGCTTTAAAAAAAAAAAAAAGTCGAGCTACCACCTAATAGCTTATATTAAATTGCCATGTTTCACCCTGTTTGAACAATCTGACCAGCGGTGGAGGCTTTTTGTTAGAAAGTGTGCGTCACTTAGCAGCTTTGAGGAAAATTGAGGGCAGGGAGAAATAAAGGATGCAGCTCACGGATCACCCAGAAACGAGCCTAATTTGAAAGGCTCCAGGCTATGAGCGAGGACAGCAGTACTCATCCAGACTTAGAAATGAGCAGGATTGTCCAGAGTTTGTTGCAGCCACCAACCTGTTGGGGATCAATCTGCAGCGCGTACGCACAACAAGAAGCAGCCTGTAGCATACATGCACAAGCCTGGATGTATGGAAACCAGTTACCGTCGCCATTTTGGTCCACATCAGACTATGCTATCAACAATGTCATCAAGAAAGGAGAACATGCGCTTTTTTATTCAGAAAACACTTAATCCCTGGTGCGAGCCTCGAGGCCTGGCCCACGCAGAAGCTCCCCCTGATTAAAATAAACCTGAAAAAGGAGCTTGTTGTAGCTCTTTCTTAACCAGCTCCTGCTCTGTTTCTTTTCTCCTGCTCCGAAGCTAAAGTGATTATAAAATCAATATACAAAACGCAGAGGTCTTGCATGAATTAGCTTAGCGAGGGAGAAAGGTGTGGCAGCTGCTTTTGTTCGCCATGAAAATCTCTTTAACGCGCTCAAAGATGCGCTGGGCTGCACGAGACCATAGGCGCATCTGTTCCGTTCTTACATCCTCCTCGCGCGAGCTCAGGTTCACGAGCCGTTTCTTTCTTTTGCTCAATAAAGGGTCGGACCTGTGCTCTTTTATGTGCCTGCAGCTTTGGAAATATATAGCATTAGCTAGCTTACAGCACTGCTTAGCTGTGAGTTTATAGCTTAAAAATATCACAAATAAGCAACAGTGCCAACTTCAACTTTTAAATCACAAGAATGTGAAAATAGCTCTTATATACATTTTTTTATGTCGAATAATTTTGACATCATTTGAAAGGCTATTCTGCAGGTAGCGTTAAAAACAGACTTCAGAGTTTGCGATAAAGGAATTATTGAAAAAAAAAACGATTTTTAAAAAACGTGCATGTAACGATTATTACGACAAAACTAAACATACCTCTATGTATTTCTATATTTATATGTACGCTACACTGCCACACCCTTTATGGCACTTATAAATAAACGAGTAAAAATAAGATCCAACTATTATGGTACTGACACGAATTTCATTATAATATTTACCGTAATAAAGAGTTTATTTACATTTATAAATACAACCTTATCACTATGAAAAGTGTGAACAATAATATAGGACTTGAAGAGTATTCTATCGTCTTCCTTGTTGTTAAACTTGAGCTGTGTTTGCAAATAGTGAACGTGACTGAAATAATGTGTCGCCTTCTTAAATTGTGTTTAACAAGAGCCGCGTTTTAACCAGCTCAGATGTCGCTGCATAAGTAACAAAGTTGATTGACGTTAAGTCGGTAATTGGATAAACTACGGTGCTTTATGGCGCTCGAGCTGCTCATTGTGCCCTGAACCCCGATCCGTTAATCCGCCCTTTACCGGAGAATAGAGCAACCAGCGGCTTTTCTTTGCTTCAACAGACAGCCGGACACACACACACATTTAAACACACACAAGAAACCGTGCGAATACGTTTTCATCTCGACCATTTCTTTACATAGAAAAGAATTATGTAAAATCTGGGTCACGTGTGTTTGTGGGAAAATAAAGGGCGGATTTCACAATAGGATTGTATAGACTGCCAGTCAATTAACCTTTAGAAACAGGCCTGCCTTTCAGAGACTCGGCGCCGTGTGGACTTGACATTTACTTAGCCTGCTGTACAGTCACGTTTGGTTTGGCTTGAAAATTATCTCAAGATGAAATCCAATAATATTATTTCTCCCCTACAAGGCCGAGTCAGGGGCTTCAGAGGGTATAAGACAGCTTTGTCAATGCCAAATACAGCAGACAGTTGAAGCAGACAGGGAGACAGACAGACATCTGGCGCTGTCTTTCTGTTCAATATTTCTGGAATTGCTGTGTGCTGGTACAATAGAGGCGGAGAAGGGGAGGGAGGGGGGTCAATAGTAGGCCAGTGGGGCAGGGAAACTGGGCCTGAAGTGGCAGCTATGGTGGTTCTGTTTGAGCTGTGTTAGTGAACTAGATATGAAGCCCAGAAGTAAAAGCAAAAAGGGGGGCACATTAAGGTGTTACACCTGAGGGGACAGTGTGGAGAGAAAAAGAGAGAGAGAGAGAGAGCAATGGCGGCCTCCGGTACCTGCAGGTCGTCTGACGCCGGCGGAGGGAGACCCAGGCCGGCTCCGGGTAGCAGCCTCTGGTCCGGGTGGTGCATACCGACGCCGTAGGCCTGGGAGCCGTGTGACGTCATCAGAGACAGGTCATGGCGCCGGTAAGCGTCGAGGCAGCCGAGCTCGCGCCGCTGCTGCTCGTCCAGGCACGAGGACTTGAGGGCCGAGCGCGCGTTGTGCAGGTTGATGAAGTCGGCGGGCTCCCCGTGGTGGATCTGTTGGTAGTACTGGCCCGAGTGCAGCGAGTTTAGCCCGTAGGCCTCCGGGGCCACGGCCGGGTGGGAGTGCTGGAACTCGTAGTGGAAGGACTGGTGGTGGAGGGGCGTGTACTGGTGGTTGGCGGAGAAATAGGGCGAGGCGAACTCTGTCCCCGCTGGTGCCGGGTAGGTGAGCGGGGAAGAGGAGGAGTAGGCGACCGAGGAGTTGGCCACGGACTCCAGGCAACCGAGCTGCATGAGCCGGTAGCTGTTTGATCCGTCGTGACGTATCTACAAGGTAATAAAGAGACGGGGAAATATATGAGCCGTGTCATTTAGCATCAGCCGGAGTCTCCTCTCTCTCTACCTCCCAAACACACTCCAAAAACACATCTCACACACTCAAAGCGTTTTTTTTCTTCCTACTTTAAACCACCTGAAGGAGATGTCACTTCCACACGCCCGGGAGGGGAACGAGCGCACGGCAACAGGAGCCATCGGTATTTTTTCCCTCCCTTTGGCGTGCCTGTCACTCTGCTCGCAGCGGTTTAAAAGGCGTGCTGTTATATATTATTATTATTACCGAGCTGCTGGCGAATTTACTGTCCCAGCTCTCGCTCTCATTGTGGATGGGAGGTAAGCAGAGTGAGACACAGCGGAGTGTTCCGCCCTGAAATGTTCTAATCACACTGTTACCGGCTCACACACGAGCCTCATTTGCTTCCTCACACTCATAAAAAGCCCCGTTTCCACCGGCAGCTGCACTAACATGCACGCTTCTTATCTCCATCATACATTTCATTTTTTATCCACCTGAAAGCTTAAAGATACCCCAGCTGGAGCTGCATTGAGAGCAAATGCTGCCTCCAAGTGCCTCTGAAACTCTGCGTAAACCCAGCATAATTTCTTCCTCTACGCTCCGGCTATAATTCAATGAATTGTAGGATGTTAAGAAAATAAATTTGCGTTACCTCTGCGTCGTGGACAAGTCCGGGGAAGGTCGCTGACATTGTGCTTTTATCCAAAGTAACCCGTGTTTTTTCCCTCCGCTTTCTGGCTCCGGTCGAATAATAATTATAATAATAAAAATGCGTTTAAATCCTCAAAAAGCCAAAGAAATGGAAAAGTCCCCCCTCGCGCGCTCTCGGTAACGGCAGAAAGCAGGCGGAACGCGAGCGTCTCCCCTCTGCACGGACGGGGCTGGCTCACGGATTTTGTACTTGCAGGGTATTTCTCGGCTGATGTCGTAGGTCCCTTGGTAATATAGAAGTTTTGAAAATTAAGCATCAGCACTGAGGAATGGGAGGACAATAGACGGAGCGGAGCATCCCAGGAGACAAGGAATAAATATTGTATCTTCGCCTTAATAAGGAACCAAGTGCTTCTTTCAACAATTTCGACGCTTTTTGTGGACATTTTCCTTTTTGACCCGTTTGTATTTTCATCAGGTCTGCTGTTCGCTTTCGTCGTGTAATATTTTTTTCATTCTCACAGCGACTTTTTACTTTAAAATGTTTGGATTTTCAACTGAAATGTAAGTTTGCTTTGAAATATTATACAGCTCATTTCGACATTTAGCAGCGGAATACAACTGGATTTTCATTTATTTCTTGAGGAACCTGATCTTCTATTTAGTGAGCTTCGATGGGAATTCTTAGAGTAACGGGCTGTTTTCGATGCTCCCTGAATGCTTTTTATCTCAAGCAGCATTTTTATTATTTTACTCTTAGGCTGATAGGGCAGCGGATTTTGATTTCAAAATCCAAGGATAATTTTTGAACAAAATGAATTAGAACTTTTGACAAGAGAATTGATCAAATAACCTAATTTAAGACATTGTTCAGGAATTAAATATCCTTTATTTACAACAAAAACTGCAACACAAAGCTAGTGAGCCAAATTCTTTGAAACAGTTTTTATGTGTTTATTGAATTGAGAATGCTGCCCACTATAATTCGTTTTCGTGCATTTTTATGAATCCATGGAGAACAGTTTATGATGAACTTTATGTGTATATATTCTTCTTTTTTTATGGGGGGAGGGGTTGAGGGGGGTTAGTCTGAGTGATGCCTTTGTAAAGAACTGACAGGAGCACGAGACCTTTTCTCTGTACAAATCAGCACTGAGTGTGTATGTGTGACCAAAGGCGCGTGCATAGAGTGAATAGAAAAATGGCATGACACTTTATTATTATTATTATTATTATTATTATTATTATTATATTATTATTAATAATATTATTATTATTATATTTATTATTTTTATTATTATTATTGCTGTTGTTGTTTTTGTTGGAGTGGCAGTTATTACAAAGAGGGACTTTTTTTTCGATCAGTCGGTCATGCTCGTGACCCGTCTCTCTCCATTTCCTTCTCTCTCTCTCTTTCTGCCTTTCTCATTGTGCTGCAACTCACCTGAGCACGCGCCCTCGGGGTGGTCCTGCCCAGCTGAATGGAGCCGTTGTTTTGTTGTGGAGTGAGATAATAGAGGAGATTTGTTTACCTTTATTTTGAGTCTTGTAAAACAAAAAAGGGCCAAACTAACAGGTGGAATAAATTCTGTGGCACAGAGAGGTTATAAATTTGTCGTTGCTTTACATGATAATGACAGAAGAATAGGTGTATAGAGGCACACAGCGAGGAAGTAGCCTATTTTACCAGAATGCTAGTACAGCACAGCCTATTGCTGCCTTGCCCTTAGGCCACCGGAAAGCAACAGGAATACAAAATGTAAAAAAGCATAAGCCCAAAGCTTGTGGTCACAGCCTGGAGAGGAGCAAAGCTGGGAAATAAAGAGGAGGAAGAGAGGAGGGGAGGCTGAAGGAGGAGAGAGGAGAGTCTGTCAGATTTCAAAACAAACCAGCGAATAGAGAGAGAGAGAGAGAGAGAGAGAGAGAGAGAGAGAGAGAGAGAGAGAGAGAGAGAGAGAGAGAAGCCCTAATCAGTCTTGTTTTGGATGTTTTTCCCCCTGCTCAGCTGTAACTGTAACCAAAGCGACTCCCTGATATTATTAAAGTGCAGACTGTGACCGTGCTGACGCCGGGACGCCGGGATTGACTCTGCACTTTAATTAAGCAACTATTTCCCCTCCCATCTGTTACTGCATGCGTCTCTCTCTGCCCTAATCTGCCACAATAATTATAATAATAATAATAATAATAATAATAATAATAATAATAACAATAATATTCATAATAATAATAATAATAATTCATAGATTAGCCTAAAGGAGGGTTATTGTTTCAATATTTTTATCTATTTTTTCACATGCTGCCATTTCTCTATTTTCACCCACTTCCTCCCTTGTCACGTGGTTTCAGAATTAAATTCCCCCCCAAAAACAAGCTTAAATATTCCACAACATCTTTTTCTTCTTGATCAAGTCTATTTACTCCAGTCACATCTGAAAAAGAGTCCGGTAACAAACACAGACGGCCCGGGCGGCGCAGGGTTCCGCCTTAAATAGCCTCCTTTAAAAAAGTTCTCAAGGCCTTTTATATTTTAATTAACCGTTACCGATTGTTTTGCCTCGGGGCTCGACGGGAAACCTCTGCACGACGAGACCGTTGAAGGCCGGTTGTCGCACGCCAGGTATTTGAAAAAGAGGATAGAGAAAGAGGGAGGGAGAGAGAGAGGGTGAAGGGTGGTGGTGGTTGAGGAGGAAGAGGAGGAGGAGGAGGAGGGGAGGAGGGATGAGTAGGAAGGCCACCAGGCAAGGAGATGGAGAGAATAAGAGGGAGCTTTGGTGTCAATTAAGGTAGTGATACTATGTTAACATAAAACCACGATTTCCTTATCTCTGTGCAAGGAAATACTTTGCAAAATGAAGTCTACAAACTGGAAAAACACAGTCTAAACCACACTGAGAGAGGTGTTTGGGTTTGATTTTAGTTTGAGCAGAAAATCATGTGGACAGTTGGAGTCTTTTGATCAAAGACAAATTACTTTATCTATGTGATTAAAAGTAAACAGAAAACAGAGACTAAACCTATGTAGATTAGGGAGAATAGATAACTCACTTAAATACCGGTCTAATTTGCTGTTCATGTTACTTAAAGCTATTCAAGCTGGTTGTCTACCAAATCTACTATCTAAATTAACCCACCAGCCCACTTCTAACTGTCTTATTGTTTCAGCAAAAGGCCAGTCACTTTGGTGTCCAGAAACTTCACCCAAATCCACACACTCAATTATCCAGTGACTGCAGTCTAATTGGTCAAAGGTAATATAAGTCAGTGTTCTACCTCTGGGAACAATAAAATATAAGGTCTATCCCCAAATCTACTATTATGATAAACATGTGCTTTAAATGATTGTTTAAGTTGCTTTAATGCTATTACAATTTTTGGTCTACCATCAGAAACTGTAAAATTGTTGGTGTAGCACACTCCACTTAACTAACATTTCATCTATCTCAACTATCAGTTAACAGAAAGGTAATTGAATATGCAGATTTTATTCATTAACCGTTCCATGATAGCATCACACAATACTTCATTTCACTTTAAGATCATTCAATCATTGAAATTAGTGGTCTACCACATAAAACATTATAATTTTAGGTCCCCCTCCAAAAACAAAACAAAACAAAACAAAACAAAGCAAAAAGTTAAGTCAGAGGTCATTTGCATTGGTGTTCTACTTTCAGAAACCAAATAATTTAAATGTGAACCCCAAATCTGCAAATTTTTTGACCGACCAGGTCAGTAATTGCATTCAACAAATGGTTTAAGACACTTCAAGGTCATTTAAATTAGTGGTCTGTCATCAGAAACATTAAAATTTTAGGTCAGCCACCTAATCTGCACACTGTAGGTACTAACTAAACAGATTACTGTTTGTTGTCTTGCTGTTCACTTTAACCACAAGGCCATTCTAATCGGTGATCTACAGCTTGAAATGCAATTATTATAGGTCTACCTTTAAATCAGCACACATATAAGTAATTGCATTTGAATTGATTTTTAACTTTCCTAAGGCGATTGAAAATTTAGGAAAACATTTAGGTTCCACCTACTAATCTGCACAATTAATCAACCTAACACGCCAGTAACTCCTCTTTAATTAATTGTTGATGCCACTCTCAGGCCATTGAAATTTGTGGTCTACCTCCAGAATCTATCAAGTTGAAAATCTACCCCCAAATCTACACTTTTAATCAGTGATTTTGAAATATCACCAGAAACAATACAATGTCACAGCACTATTTGACATTAAAGTTTTGATATTTTATATTATTTGATCTTAAATTTGATATCAGAGTCACTGCAAAGCTGTTCAAGTTGGTGTTCTACCGCACCACCAGAATAGGCTATTGTACAGCCTACATTTAGGGCTTCCCATTTTCTGCACATTATTATTTTAACAGATCACTGAGCTTGTGAGTCCCCCCCCCATGATAGCATGAGTTTTTTTTTTTTTTTTTTGCTTAAATTCTACCTGAGAGACAGATATGTGTTTGCATTCAGGCTGCCAACCCGGGCGAGGCACCAGTTGCACGGTAGACGGTCCTAATAGGGCTTAACGCCGACGAGTAGTCCCGCTTTACCGGCGGGGCTGGGAGCGCAGCACCAGATGCGCACTGATCTCCGGACAGGAGCCAGTCCATCTGCCGCCTGACGAGGCAGGGAAAGGCCCCGAAACCCCGCACAGCCCACAGCCCAGAGGCGAGAATTTAGATCAGCCCCGAGCTTCCTGGATGGAGCACTGATCCAGCAGAGAGAGAGAGAGAGAGAGAGTGAGAGAGAGAGAGAGAGAGAGAGAGAGAGAGAGAGAGAGAGAGAGAGAGAGAGAGAGAGAGAGAGAGAGAATGGGGCTCTGGTGTCTGTTTTTAGAGGAAGAGACAGAAAAGAAGACGATAAGAAGGAAGAAGATAGGGGGTTTTAAGTTATGGGCACGTGGTTTTGGCGCACTCCCAAGCCCCTTTGAAGCTAATGAATCCATTATTTTTTAACCCAATATGCGGCTATCTAATTATTAGCTATGCCTCTTCTGAAATAAAAATATGGCGATGCTTTTGTCACCATAGAAAAATAATCCTGTAATCGTAAAATATGTTGTGGAACAAACAAAACGAATAAATAGACTTAACTTTTTTTTATACTTTTGACTCCCCTGTATCAAATTATTGAAAAATGCACCAATTTCACCTTCTCCCCTGATTCCTTCATGTCAACAAATAAAATGAAAGTTTCCATGCCATCCCTCTTTTCCTGCTCTTTTTGTCTTCCTTTAAGCCCTGATTGGTTTAAATGGCTTAATAGAGTGCAACAACTTATCCATAATAGATCACTCTATAGCCTGCAGTCATTTAGCCTATTGCTACCACAGTAACAGTAAAATGTAATCCCCTTATAGGCTTTAAGACTCCTTTTAAGTATATTATGTCAGATTGTAACACTTTCAGAGGTCTTAAGTGACAGCGATGCGTTTAATAGCGGTAGGGATTTATAGGCTAACCATCCAGACTTGTATTTAATTCGTTGTCGCTTATGTAGCCTAATGAAAAAGGAAATGTAGACTCAATGGTGTGTATTAATATGTGGTCTGAAGTCAGAGGACACTAAAAATTCATAACACTGTCTGCTTGCAGTCTGTGTGTGCACATGTGTTGGCCTTGTTTATGAGTCTGTTTTGGTTTTAATCAGCCCCGGTCAGACACCGACCTCATATGGCCATGAGCGTCCGTTAACTCGGTGCTGTAGTACCCTAGCCTGTGTGTGTGTGTGTGTGTGTGTGTGTGTGTGTGTGTGTGTGTGTGTGTGTGTGTGTGTGTGTGTGTGTGTGTGTGTGTGGGCCTGCACCTTTCCAGCCAAAATAACGACTGGCATAATGAAGGCGAACCATAACAAACGGCCCAGAAGATGTTTGTCCAAAAGCAATTAAGAAAATGGTGTGTGACCTACATACAGGAAGCGCCTCGGAAGGAAACACAGGTTAATATGCTAATATGGATCTGCTAATTGTGGGGATTTACTTGTCGGTTTGTGGAGGGGAGGGATGCAGGGGGGTGGGGTGGGGGGGCGCTCCTCTTCTTTAAGCCTTCAAGATTTGCAGCAAATTAATTTCTCCCCATGATGCAGTGCGTGAGGTGAGGAGAGCAGGGGAGGCAGGAAACAGGTGGTCGCTGTTAGATAGAGGACCAGACCAGAATATAATCCCACATTAAGATTAAAATTAAATTATCTGGCCTCTCTTCTCTCACTTTCGTCCCTCATTTTGTCCTCAGATTTTTCCCTTCTTGGACTTTAAAACAAATATCATCCAAAATGCATCCACCTCCTGTCAAGTGCACACATCATATTAATTATTATCGCCCCGGGGTGACACCCCTCCTCCCCGCTCCTCCTCACCCCCACCCACTCGCATACAGAGCCCGCGGGACGTTCAGGCTACTTCAAGGACCCTGCATCTCTCCAGGAAACAATATTATTCTTTAAAAAAAAATAAAAATAATAATAATAAAATAAAAACAGTCCCTAAACTTGGGTGCCGGGCTCCCTTATTCGCAAGAGGCAGGCACCGGGTATCATCGCCAGTTTGTGTTGTCAATTAGCGCGTTGAATAGTTGTTCTTTGTCTTTGTAATTACTCCTAAAGTCAGTGCTAGAGTTCAGTTCAGGGCAGACACGTGTCAGCTGCCGTGGAAACACCAAAGAAAAGGCCAATCTGCTGCCAACGGACAGTCCCTAACATATTGGGCTTGGCCATAACAGTTTAACTCCTGGTATAAATGCAACAGTTCCACCATGATTTCTACTTCAACGAAGATTTTATACATTTTCTGCTTTGATTGTCATGGTTACAGATGATAAGACCTTTAAATTACGGGTGATGGTAGTGTAGGCTATAGGTGTTCCTCATAGGCTATTTTCGTCCCCTTATGTCATTTAGTCCTAATGAATACCTTATGATAGCTATTACACAGCTCGATAGCTAAAGGCTCCTACCACCACGCGATATTAAACGTAACGTAGATAAATTGCCAGTCTATACCAACAAGAAATGACGAGGCCAAAATTATTAAAACATCTTTAAATATCGTTGAAAGATTTCATTCAAAAACGTGTGGCGTCACGGTTAAAAATACTTGTTTTTTATTTAAGAATTAATCAGTTTTTAGCGGTTAAATTGTCGAGTATTGAGGTTTTTCTTCTTCTATCAATCAATCAATCAACCAACCGATGCCCTGCTAGTATGACTAGCTGACAGTATTTTAAGTAGACGTCACATTACAGCCATAAATGATGCTATAAAATTGATCTGTAAAACTTAACTTCAGCAGCTGTTGGATCAGTAAGCCTGTCTACGTCAGTGTATCTGTGTGTGTGTGTGTGTGTGTGTGTGTATGTATGTGTATCTGTGTATGTGTGTGCGCGAGCGTGTGTACGGCGTCGATCGATGTTCATTAACTTCTCTTTTCAAGAGTTTCTGAAGTGCTCCTGAAGATCACACGAAAGCTAAAAGTCTTTTGACTATTTCCCATCTAGTATATTTTTTCTTTTTTGGGTGGGGGGTTGGGGGGTAAAGAGCACAGATGGGAGGAAAAGAGCAGAATGTACTTTCAGATTTTCATCATCTCCTCTTCCTCACTGTTTTTTTCCCCCTTCTGAGATCCAGCAACTTCATGACATGCAACAGGCAGCATAAAAGAGAAAAAACGACTTTCATAAGCTGTAAATGAATCAATTATCTCACAGGGTGTTGTTTGTTTAGACTCATGCTGTGTCTGAATTGTACATGTAGGATCTGAACTACATGTTAGTGTTATAAAAAGACAGACAGGATCATGCATAGTGAATTACATGTGTCATTATTTTTGATATATGGCTGCAGGCTGTAACAGGGCTTTATTCTGCATATGTCTTCATACTTACTGTAGCCACATACAATTGGTTTTAAACTGTATTCTCCCCAGATAGACTCTCAAACATGTACTTTATTAACTTGTCATAAATGTGAAGATACTGATAAAAGTTAGAGAGCTAACACAGCTGTTTGGATTAGGCAGTAAATGGAGCATCTTGCTTGATCCAGTATTGATATGTGGTTACCAAACCCCACATAAGCGCATCTTAAGTCCTGATAAAGCCTGCCTTTATTGAGACGCTTTTATTTGGCTGTGGTTATTTGGATGTCATTGCAGTAGTTCTCCTGGTAGAAGCATGTTCAAAGTCATCCTTTGTAAAGCTCTTACACTGAAACGTATCTGACCCCCTAAAACCTTTAGAACCCAACTTTGAGAACAACTTCTTCATTGTTAGTGTATCTCCTGGAAACACAGAGGACATACTCATGACTATTTTGGTCACTCACTGGTAAAAATTGGGTTAAGGAACAGGTAGGCCTTTAAAGTTGTTAGAAAACTTGCACAAGTGAAGTGAAAAGGTCCGATGTGACAAATTTGTCAGGGCTTGCAAAAAAAACCCCAAAAAAAACAACCTTTTAGTTTGTTTTTTGTGTTATCATTATCAGTCATGCTTATTCTAACATCACTGTACTATTATTGCTAGTATAACACTTTTTTTTTTTAAACTTTAGATCTACAATATTGGGTTTTTGCCCATATTCTATGTGTCAATGTTTTCTAACTCATTCAATTGATACTGTAGTTGGAGTATGTATTTATCGATCAGTGCTGACACTAAATATCTTTTTAAAAATTTAAAATATTGATAATGTTCCACTAATAAGCTGACAGTAACACTGTGAGTTTATATTTGCGAGACATAAGACAACAGAGGATAGATGAAGACGACGTAGCAGACTGCTTGCAAGCTACCTGTAGCAGCTGTCTGAGAGATGGTTAGAAACTTTTAAAGCTAATGTTTAAAGTTTTATCTTTCTTTCATCCTTTTACCATTTTGAATTGAAGATCAAAAAGGTCTCATGGTTTTGTTTTAGCTCCAGACCAACTCAAAGTCAAGTGGTCTCCTTCTGTTATGGTTTTTAAATGGAAATCAAAAAATAAAGTCACATGGCCAAAATGTTTTACTATTCTTTAATGTAAAGTGAGAAAAGCAAGCCCCAGTATATTTATTTATTATTTCATTTATTTGACCATTTCTCATTTCTCAGACAGTCAAAGGGAAAAAAAAGGGTAAAGATTTTCAGATTAAAAGCCAAAAGGCTTACTGAATTATGCCTGCACTGGGAGTAGTTACTGGTTTGAAACCATAAAATGAAACCATGAGATCTTTTTCAGTATCAAAAAAGAGAAAAAGACCAATGACAATACACAGGCCAGTGATGCTTGGAGTTTTGTTTCAGTCTGACCGTAAAACAGTTCAACAAATCATCCAATGATACCCTGACGCACGTGACTACTGATCACTGAGTTTGGTCCTGCTTGAGGTCTATGCCGATTAAAAGTTTGTTCCTATGGTTGCTAAGTGACTCTACGTTCTTGCTCATGGTGGGCCTGTGTTTGGTACCAGTAAATAATCTGCTCTTTATAAAAGCTTTGTAGAGAATTGTCCCTGCAAAAATAAATGTGAAAAATTAATCAATTGATTGGATTAAAAGCAAAAAATCAGAGTAAAGTATTAAAAACAGATAATCATGTTATAAAGTTTTAACTTCTTAATGTCCCTGTCCTCTGAAATGCTCAGATATAAACTCTGACTTCTTCAAGCTTTTCTTTAAGGTCTCCTTTGTTGGCTGCTTTGCTCAGTTAAGATCAAAAGAGTCCAAAATGAAATTCCCCCCTATACTTTGCCTTTGAATACAACAAAGTCAAGCTGGCTGCTTATTTACTTAACACTTTGATCTTTTTAAGGGACAAAAGTGTTCCCAGCTAACCTCAGGTGGGTCCAGGAGCAGGCCTAAATACAGTTTTTATATCAACACATTCTTAACATGGGCAAGGAACATCATTTATCATCTAAGATCTCTTGCATCTTTACATTATGCTTTACTTGTTAGCCTACGTCCTGTTAAATCTAGTGTTGTTTCCTTTATTGTGCTTAACATTAGTTCAAACTTGGCACTCCAAAATATAGCAAAAACATTTAACATCAAATCTGAGCCAGACCAGAAAACACGTGCTTCACCTTAATTCTAAATTGTGCTATAAATGACACCAGCTCAGAGCAGCAGGACCTGAAAAAGGTCAGCTGTGAATAAAAAACTTGTTTTATCTCAGGATATCGTTGTATGAGTGTCTCCTCCTCTAAAAATCTATCTAACTCAGTACTCTGTACCAGTCCTCTGTAGTTGATGTTCCTCCATGGAGGTCTTTGTTAATTTTTTTGCATGAAGGTAGTCCCTCTTTTGTGCTATTCTTATCCCAGCCAGCAGAGTGCGCCGCTTTGGTGGTGCAGCCTGAGGGGAGATTAACCTGCAGGTCTTTTACAATAGAGAGGGGAACACACACTCTCTCTTGAACACATTCACATACACACATAGACTTACACCCTCTCTCTCTCTCTCTCTCTCTCCCTCCCTTACAAAGCTAGTAAGTATACACATGCAAAGGGGGGCGATGCAGGTTCAATGACTTTGATCGTGTAATTCCTGCGTAATCTCTGTAATCTTTTAAAGCAGAGCTGTTTGAATGTATGTTGTATGTGTGTGATGAGGAGTGTGTGTGTGTGGCGTGAGATGTGTAATGTACATCAGATTAACGAGATGAAGAAGAGGCTGAGAGGACTGCTAAAAGAAAATCTTTAAGAATCAAACGATCAAGATGGTTGCTCATGCGGTTTTTCAGTCTAGTTTAGTATAGTAACACAGGAAAGTGCAGGTTTACATGTGTGTCAACAAGCAGGTGTGCAGGTTCAAAGACGGGGAAACAGGCAGAGAAAGTGTCGTGAAACCAAGAGGAGACAGTCCAGACTCATCTCTAACATGGCCCAAAATTTACTGGTGCAACAAGGCCTTGAACATTTGTACTGTTGTAAAATGTTATCCTTTGTATGCTTTTTTATTT